ACTAGTTTGTTAGGTAAGAGCCACTTTGTTATTCAGACTTGCCTCAAAAATGCATATTAATACATTAATTTCCTATTTTTCTCCTGAATATGGGCCAAGCTTTTAAAATGAGAACATCTCAAATATAATACAACAATTTTTGGGGTTTTTTGTGCACAGTAGTTCAGCTGTTCCAACACTCAACCCTTTTATATTGAAGTACAGTCTTGATAAAAGTTGTATAGTTTTATACAAGCTGCTGGATTGATACTTCTTGGAAGGAAGTATCTATTTTCTTAGGTGATGTGTACTTGCACCTTGCAGTACAAACTTTTTTTGTGCTGTTTTATAAATATCTCTCAGCATCCTTATATTCCTTCCAATAAATGGACAGAGAGTTAGCTAAGGTCATCTGTAATGGAAATGGAACATGGAGTCTCCCTTTGTTGCAGAGAAACTCCCTAGCTCATGATTGAAAAGTTTGTGGTGTTTTTAGATGACTAGGCACACACCAAATTTCTTTTTTTCCTTATTTTTAATTTTAGTGTTGTCTTTGAAATATGCTATTTATGTTTTGTTACACATATGATCATCCTAAAGTGCAATGTTTTCATTGTGAAGTTGATTCCAGGACTTTGTATTCTCTGAAGGTGGAATTGTCAACATCAATTTACAGTTTGCAGGTGTGAGGCTAATTTAAAAAAAATTATATCCTTTCTCCCCTCAAAGTTGTATGCAGTAGTTGCTTACTAAATAAATTACTAAATAATTTTCCAAGTTAAAAAGATAAATAAGGAAAATGTGATTGAAGTGGCTTTTTACCTAAAATACCTTTTATGTTGACAGCTTATATTAATGTCTGGTTAATGGCACTTGCTGCAGGCTTCACACAACATTGGAGTTGCAATGGACACAGAGCAAGGTTTAATTGTCCCAAACGTGAAAAATGTTCAAGTCTGCAGTGTGTTTGACATTGCTGTGGAATTAAATCGCCTCCAGTCCTTGGGCTCTGCAGGCCAGCTGGGAACAAGTGACCTCACTGGGGGAACATTCACCCTTTCAAATATTGGCACAGTAAGTACAGGGAAAATGAGAGCTGAAATGCAACTTTATTGAAGTTTAATACAACTTTATTGAAGTTTAATACAACTTTATTGAAGTTTAATGCAACTTTATTGAAGTTTAATATTCAAAGAATAAAATCTGTAGCAATTAATTCAAGAGACAATCTGCTTTAAAAAAGTTGTTAAATAATATTCCCACCTTTTTCTTTTTTAGATTGGTGGCACTTATGCCAAACCAGTGATACTACCTCCTGAAGTAGCTATTGGAGCACTTGGAAAGATACAGGTATATTAACTTTATCTCAGTATGTGAGTGTTAGCTAAGGTCATCTTAATGAAAATGGAACATGGAGTCTGTTGCAGAGAAAATGCATAGCTCATGACTGAAAAGTTTGTGGTCTTTTAAAATGACTATGCACACACCAAATGTTTAATTGGATGTCTCTTACACCAAAGGTTCATATTTATTTTCCAGAATCCTGTTATGTTTCTTTCACATCTGTGTTTAGCCTTCGGATTAGTAAGAAACAATATAAATACAGTTCGGCAAGTTTTGCAACATGGCAATAGCAATTTTGCTATCAGCAGGGAGAAAACTTGAGAAGTATTCTGAAAAAGAAGTTCAATTTCATAAGCCAGGTAGCTGTATCCATACAGAATTTTGGATGTGAAGGCAGTTTTATATTTTCTGAATCTCAGGTTTGAATTCTTTAATATAGACATTGGAGCTCAGTGCTGGAAATGAAATTAGTATTAACTGAAATTATTTATATGTTCCTCCTCTGAGCATTTTTAAGAGGTGCTTTAAGGAAACTGCACTTTTAAGGAAAGTGCAATAAATTATTCAGGAAGAAACTCTGGAGTAAGGAAAAACTCTTACTACTTCAGTATTGCCATGATGGTGGAAAAAGGCTGTGACTGTTTATTATGCAGGCTTGCAATATATTCTAATCCACACCACAAAAAGTCGTGGAAAGGTCTTGGTTTTTAGCATGGTGCTACTGCTGTCTGTCTAATTCAGCAAAATGTTTTAATTTAGATCAACAAATCAGCAAGAACAAAAAAGGCAGATTTGCTAATGAAAATATTACATTTAATAGTTCTGGTTTTGTCCCTCCTCTGATTTTTAGGTTCTTCCTCGGTTTAATAGCAAAGGTGAAGTATTTAAAGCACAAATAATGAATGTGAGTTGGTCAGCTGATCATCGCATCATTGACGGAGCTACAATGGCCCGGTTTTCTAACTTGTGGAAATCTTACTTGGAGAACCCTGCTTCGATGCTGCTGGACCTTAAATAAAGGAAACCATGGCTAGAAAATGCCTTTAAACTCTGTGGATTAGACTGAATAGTTATACAAGTTATCTGCTAACATGTGCCCTTGGCTACGTGCATTATATGATAATGTTATGTGGTTTAAAGTTCTCAACAGCTGATATCAGTCTCAATTAGTTGTTGCTTCTTTCATGTTGTATTGCTGTAATTTCATCTACAGCAGACTGTCAAACTGAGTAGGTCACAGCTTCTGAATATGGTGGTGGAATGTCTTTATTTTGCCTTTTATAATGAAAATGATTGTCAGGCTGGTGTGACTGAGTGCCACTGCTCTACACCTGCAGTATTTATAATCTGAAGGGAAATTTTGGAGGGGAATACTCATAGTTCTTCTATTTTGGACACATAAATTTATTTTAACAAATAATATCTGAATTCCTATAAGGGATTATGCAAAAATCATATACAAATAAAATGCCTTTAATGCTTCTGCTGTAAGATGTCCAGAGAGCTTTTTGTTGTTTAACTGAGTAAACCTCTTAAGTCTCTTGCTAGTCCACTTTTTCTGGCAATTACTTGCACAGGTACTCTTTATCAAACTGTAAATGAAGAGGCCATATTTATTCAAATGCTTACTGACAACACTGATAACTATCAAGGCCTTAATACTCTCTAGAATATCCTATATTTTTAAAGGCTGAAAGTAGTTTCAGCCCTTAATGCTTTCTAGTTATTTTTGATTCTTATAGAAAGTATCTGTCTGTTAAAATGAAATGAGAAAGAAAAGCAAAACAAAAAAAAGGATCTTGTTTTATTATTCTGTCATTAGGTAAGCCTGACAGTAAGCTGATAATGATCTTGCATTCTGTTATTGATATTCATATACTAGAATCTGATAGATTAATCAGATTCAACAAAAAATGGATATTAAAAAATACTGTGAGATAAGGACTTCTTAAACTCAGACATGAGGCACATAATGAATAGGTTCAAGTTAATGACTTTAGAGCAGAAAACTTATGTGGCTTTAAGGTAAAATAAACAGATCACGAAGATTGCACTGCTGATTTAATGGGAAATATGAAGAAAACTGTTGGATATGAATACCTTCTAAACACATAAATTTCACACAGACATGAGAAAAGACAGTTACATAGCCTTAAAAATGAATTTGTAACGCACAAAATGGACATTTTCTCCTTTTTTTAGATATATCAAAAACAGGAGCATTCTTCAAAATGGTAGACCAAAGGTGTCTATTGCATTTAGCTGTGAAGATGTGAGACAGGCTACCAGAGGTAGAATCCCTGCTATCCATGATGCTGAGACTGAATAAGAGAAAAGCTGGTAATGTATGGAGTGTGGCGCATCCATGTAAGGTGCTATTAACATTTCTATTGTGGTATAAGGGTCTTTTATATAAAAGTTATTTCTTGCAAAGTTTGACTGTTATATCATGCTTATCACCTATTTCATTTTTATCAGATTTATTTATTCCTAATAAAAAATGTAAAGCCACAAAAAGTTGTTTTTATTTGTGAATTTTATGCAGGCAATCCTGTATGGGTGACTCAAACTCTCTTCTTGCCTTAAAGAACATACTGTACTCAAGGCTACCAGAAGAACACAGCCTAATGTCTACTTTCCTACAAGTATATTGTTGTGGTAAGGGCTTAGTCTAAAGGCTTAGGATATTTTTTAATCTGATGATCATTGAGAAAATAAATTGAGGAAATAGAAGTGTATGAAAGAAAGCAATAAAATTAATTTGAAATACTTAAGGCAGAATACTTTTACTTACACAAGGAGAAGATTGAAAGCTAAAGTACTTAGTGTCTTTTTAAGTAGGTAATGGTATTAATGTATTCAGTTGTTTGTGGACTTTAGAGGTTTTTTTGGTTTTTTTGTTGTTTTGTTTTTTTTTTTTTTGTTTGTTTGTTTTGTTTTGTTTTGTTTTTTTGTTATAAAATTCTGTGTGGTAGAATTATAACCAAATTAATGATACTTTTAAAATTTTATCTTCACATTTTATACTCCAGCTCAATTGGTTAGAACTATTCAGTTTTATGGCTTCTGCCTCAAATAGTAACCTAGTATTGTTGTCTCTCTTCCCATTTGATTGAAGTAAAAGATTCTGACAGACTTGTTCTCCTTTTATCTTCTCCAAGGGCTATTTGAAGAAATAGAATGTTAAATATTTTTCATTATTGGAACCATGAAAAGGGGTGAGTAATAACCCCTCTGCACATCCTGGTAAAGATTACTTTTCTGCCTGGACTTCGAAAATTTGCAGTAAAATTCTTCAGCAAGAGAATTCTTCAGCATTGGCAAAAGTAATGAGTAAAATACTTAGTGATGTAATACCTTTTCTCATCTGTTTAGTGAATGTTGCTGTTTAATAGCACTTTGAAGCTCAGTTACCTTGCAGAGAAGCATTACTAAAGAAGGCAATAATTTTTAATTCAATACTGGCCTTTTTTATTTCTATTTGTAATTTTTAATTCAAAACAAACTTATTGTGCAGCATAACAATATTCCTTTGTTCTTTGTTCACAATTTTTGTTAATAGAGTCCAGTTTAGGGGAGCCCAATCATACTCAGCAAAATGGGAAGACTTCAACAGTGGCAAATGCTTGGGGGGGTTGCAAAATGCCTCATGTGATGTCTTCTATTCTCAGCATAGGTTAAAATTAGAACTAGACTGACATTGCACTGGAGTCTGAGTGAGAGTTTTAAATGGCTTTGGTAATGCAGACAAGATTCATAATTTATCTCCACTCTTGTCCAGAAAGCAGTGAGTCACAGAAAATCCTTGAAAACACCGAATAATTAAGGTGAGTTGTTGTTAAACTCTTTCTGATGCTTGGATGTGAAGTTGTTGGGAGATCTGATTACTAGGGAGTGAATTTGCAGTTGTTTTACAGCCACGCTTGGGAATTCACTTCTGAATTGTTGGCTGTGATGGCAAGATTTTTATGGTTTTTATTTTCTTGACAAATAGTGAGATCTAAGAACAAGACCTTTTTGATGGAATCCTGTTATATAAAGAAATCCTGAAAACAGTTATATACTTAGGTCCTTTGACCTTTCATACTTCTAAGGCATATCTGTTGAATGATATGCAAAAGAGAGTTGCTCAGGTTAAGCTTTACTAGAAATAAGTATGAGTTTGACTGTATAGTATGATACTGGGTTTGGTAGTACAACTATTAACAAATGTCTCTTTTCTGCACAATTTATATAAAAAGATTTCTAGTTTTCTGCCTAAAAGGGCTTGTAGTTCAAAAAATGTCTTTAAACAACAAGAAATTATAGATTAGCTAATCACTTGATCTCAATAGAAATTTGGTCTTGAAAAAAATCAGGCAATTTGAATTGAACCTCTGACTGGAGCAAAAAACCTCATGCATACATAGCATTACTGTTGTATGTTGAGATGGAGACTGGGAAGGGTAATTACTCTGACCACTGAAAGAGAAGCTAATCTTTCAAACTAGTAAATGTGATCACATTTATGTGGGGGATGGAAAGTATACAGTCTTCTCTTTACAGGAAAAAATCCAATCCCCCTGTAGGAGCCCAAAGGCCAGACTGCACTGCCACACTGGGGTTGCCATTTGTGTCACTTGTCAAATCCTGCCATTTTTCCTTACAAACATAAGAATCATAAATATTAGTGTATTAGACCAGATTCTTCTTTATTCAAGCTTTATAATTTGATTTTATGCTGTCTTTACAACAGGAAGCAATCCTGACATTTTACATTTTATTTGCCTACACATTTTAACTTAACTTCAGACTTTACAAATAAGTATGTTAGCAAAAGATATAGTAAACATAAAATAGAATGATTGCCAGTTTGAACACAAAAATAGTCCACTAAGCAATTGTGGCTTATCCAGGCCACACAAAATTATAACAAATATGAAAGAAAAGATTGGTTCTAGAAGACAGACCTGCAGCAATTATTGTAGGGAAATATATGTATGAAAAGACATGAAATTCCTCTTTTGTTGTTACCTACCTGCTTGTTTGGAAGAAAGTTATTCTTACTTTTTTTAGTTTAAGGCATATATAGGACATTTTTCTTACTTGCCACTACAAGTATCAGAAAAAAGGTAGAAAGGGAGCATTTAGATCATCAGTGTTCAGAGCACACTGCTGCTGGTATGAAATTTAGCCCTGCAAACTTACCTGAATATCAGTATCTTGACTCCAGTAATGGCAATAAGAATGGTTTTTAGAGGCATGCAGTGATTAGGATGAGTGAGTATCCTATTTTGCTGCTCTTCAGGACAATATGTATTAATTGTCTCACAAAGGATACATAGTTTCAAAACTTTAGACTGCGTTTAATTTTAAATGTGAATTCTGACACTCAGGGATACACAAACTTTCAAAGAGAAATCAGAAGGATTCAAATGCATTTTCCTAAAGGTAATGCATTGCTAACTATAAAATGCATTGTAATGAGTTAAGCTATGAAGAAAATGAATGCAAATAAAGTATACTCAGTAATTTCCAGGAACAGTGCAGTTTCTGTCAAGTGCAAAACTCCTTCAGTGACAAGTATCTATATCAGGTAGGTGTCAGAATGCAGCTATCAGAACTGAACTGCCTTAGGTTGCAGGTGACAGTTTAATGTGTTCCTGGGATGGGAATGAATGCTCAAATCTGCATTTAATAATTATGGCAACAGCCTACCCTTGAAGGAACTGAGAGAAGCAGTTGTTCACTGAATAAGAATGCAGAGATTGCAAAAATACCTTTTCTTATTATAATAAAATGTAACTAGATGCAATTATCTAGTTTTATAAAGAGAAAGCAGTTGATAAAATGCTGTAAGTTCATTACATTCACTCATTTGATAACATAATGAAGTGGGTATTGCAGTATTTTATTTTTCACGTCACTGTCCCCATCTGGGAACCCATACCTGAAGTGGTGCATTGAGTCAGTTTCCTGCAAGCAAATCTGAACATGTAAAGGACCATGGCTGAAACTGCAGTTTGCCTGGGAACATTCTCTGCTGTGAAGACACTCTGGGAAGTGAGAATACACAAGATAAATGAAGAATTACGGAGAGAAAAGGAATTCAGGCAGAGGTCTGCAGGAAGGTAGGTAAATTGTAACTCTTTAAGTATGTGAAAAGCTAGACCATATGTTACATTGCAGAAGACTGTAATTGGTTTCTTCAAATTCATTCAGACTCTAATTCCTTAGTTGTTACTCCATCAGGAATCCCAGTGATTAGAATTTATATTATCTGTGATAAGAAAATATTAGTATATAGATAAAATCCCCTCAACTCAGATACTAAAATCCTCTGCTCTGTAAATATTCTAACCAGTGAAGATTTGTTATGCTTTCTTCTCCTTTGAGGTATTAAGAGGGTTTCTTGGTCTTCTGTCTGGCTCGCAATTTAATGAAATTTTAAGAGATTTAGGATACTATTTTTGGTACTCCTAATTTACCAGATGTGTTTGAAGTGGAACAACAAATTCAAAAGTTACTCATGGAGAATACAAGCAGAAAGACAGAGAACTACCTTGTCATAACTCTTGTTTAGGTACCCTTTGGAAATCAAGCTAAAAGAAGCTGATTGACCTATTTTCTTGCACTTATATGTGGTGGACTGGAAGGCTTTCATTTTAGGAGTCTACTTCAAAATGTGCTTTAGAACTTAATTCCACATGACTTTATATTCTGTGGCCCTGCTGCTACATGCTGAAAGTGAATTATGTCCTCCTTCTGAATGTAAATTTAAAGAACTGTAAAATAGAATTCCTATAAATTACCTCAGCCAAACATTAAGGGCTTTTCTTCTCTCCAACTGATAGTATATTAACATCCAGTTAAAATGGATAAAAAAAATTTGACAATAATTATTTTTCCAGAAAATAGATAGGATAGCAATTATTGGCTGTATTCATTGTGGCACCACTGGCAGATCTTTTTTCCCTTGTAGGCTACTGCTTGTCTGGGAGGAGAGAGCTGCTTTAGCAAAGCTTAAAGAAAAAGTTATTAATGAAGGTGGAAGAGCAATTTTAAGGATAGAGGAAGAAGAATGGAAGGTAGGGTTGATAGGAATGAATGCTGCCTTTGTTGAATGACTGATGCATTAGAGAACTACTATTTACAACTTTACACTTACAGTGCTACTATTTGTGTTCTGTTAACTGCTCACTGTGCTTTGCTAACGGTGAATTGGGACACACTGTTGTGAGTATAAAAGCAAGCTGAGTGGTTTTTAGGCCTGAATATTAAGCATTACTCTGCAAAATCAAAGCCCAAAAGACTTTTCTGCATTATAAACTATTTTCACTGCAAAGTATGATTTTCATTATGTAAATTCTCATTTAACATTCACACACCAGAACTACTGAAATGTATCAAGATGAAAACCCTCTGTGTTTGGGTGCATGAAGATATCTCTTATTGTTTATTTTCTCTTTCTAAGAGTGAAAATGAACCAGTAGATTCCCAGAACACTACTACTGTTGTTTCTCATGTGCAGAGCTAATCTGCTGTTACTGCTGGCAGAGTGAAGGCTATCAGTGCTCTGAGCCATGCAGAAATGCACTGACCAGCTCCTAGAAGGTGATGAGAATTAGTTTGTGTTGAGGCCAGTGAGAACACAACAGCCAGACCAGTCTTCTGTGCAAAAATCTATTCAGTGCAGTTTCATCTTCAGTTATATTGAATTAAAAGAAAAAAAAAAAGAAGAAATAAAAACAAGCCTGAAACTTGTCAATTACAGTAGTGCAGGTATCTAAATCCTGGGAGCCAAAAGAGGGAAGGTTCAATGTGTGATCAGGTGATCAGCATGACAACCCACACTGGTGTTCACTTCAGGATCATGGAATATGCTGAGTTCATTGAGCTGAACTCCTGGCTTTGCACAGCACCATCTCCAAGAGTCACACCATGTGCCTGAGAGCATTGTCCAAACACTTCTTGCACTCTGTCAGGCTTGGTGCTGTGACCACTGCCCTGGAGAGCCTGTTCCAGTGCCCAACCACCACCTGGGGGAAGAACCCTTTCCTAATATATTGATGGGGGAAGAGCCCTTTCCTAATATATTGATGTAAACCAACCACCACCTGGGGGAAGAACCCTTTCCTAATATATTGATGTAAACATTTTCCTAATATGTATGATATTAAAATCATACATATTTTAATTATGCTTACTATTTCTAGCATATTTGAGTAAACAGTTATCAGAATTCATTTTGTAACCTACATGTTGCAGTATAGCTTAAGAAAAAGGACAGACTGTTATTGTTTCAAATAAAACTTCTGCCTCAGCCTGTATTCTAAACTAAATTTCTTCTGGTTTGTATTTCTTGTTGCAGACATTACCTTCATGCTTACTGAAATTAATCCATCTCCAGGAATGGCAGCTTCACAGAACTAGTTTACAGAAAATTCCTCAGTTTATTGGAAGATTTCACAGCCTTGTTGTTCTGGATCTATCCCGGAACTCAATTGAAAGTGTACCTAAAGAAATTGGTGAGCTGTGCTTTGTTTTATTTTAAGCTGCTTTCCTAAGAAAATTGGTCTCACACAAATGTACCATTTTTGTGCCCTTTGCCTGTCTAATAAGCCTGTCTGTTGGGGAGTAAGAAAACAGATTATTTAAATCTGACAATGAGATTGAGATCTCCAAACCATAAATTCCATATAAACTAAAAATGGGGCTGGATGGAAGAGACATATCTCTATGAAAGCTCCCCATGACAAAAAAAAAAGACCTGTTTGCACAGCAGGGACTAGACATCAGAATGCAGCTAGCAAAGTGATACTGAAAAACAGACTTCATGTTCTGAGTCCACAGCAGGAGTAGCCTAGTCACAATTTTTGGGTTTTTTCTTGAAGCACTCAACTAGATTGCAGAACTAGATTGCAGTCCTGTACTAAAGAGTCCTGAGGTGCTGCTATTTGCAGTTTGGTAATTTTTTTGTTTGCTTGTTTTGTTTTGTGAGAACACATTTTTTCATTTTTATAAGAGTAAAAGGATAAGGCAAAACAAATAGTATTGTGCTTCAAATAGAATAAACATGAACATTTCTCATTTGTACTCTCTGCAGGCCAGCTGACCAGCCTCCAAGAGCTGCTTCTCAGTTACAACAGAATAAAATCTGTTCCTAAGGAAATAAGTAACTGCATCAGTCTGGAAAGATTGGAACTGGCTGTCAACAGAAATATCTGTGATCTTCCTCCTCAGGTTTTGACAGAGTTTGGTTTTGTTTGATGCATATTGTAAATTTATCCAAAGCCAATTATCGTTACGTGTTGCATTTCTGTTATCAGATTTGCTGTGATTTCACAGTACTTCACACTGATGTGAACAACCTTTCCATGACTGGTCAAACTGAAGCCACACGAGAAGCACATACACACACCTGAGTAGCTGAAGGAGCCAGTCTTTATTTTGGCCAGATAAATGACTCGGCAGTGCATGGAGGGCAGTGACACACTCCATATCAATTTGTTTAGGCTGGATATCATCACTGATTTACCCCACTAAGAATCTGATGCCTTAGCACAGAGAAGTTCGCTTTTATGGTTGAGAGTACAAATTCATACCACATGAATGGCAGCTGCCACGTGGCAGCTGTAAGCATCTTTACCAGAACAGCTAGATCTGAAAAAGGGTTGTGTGATTTATACAACTGCCTGTGCAGAGGTGAAAAATTGTTGTTCTCAAATGTTGAAAACAATTATGAGAGAATGAAAACAACTACTCACTTATTGTAGTCAATTGTAGTCAGCAGTTATGGCACTCACTACTGGGTGGGAGGTAAAGTTCTGCTGCCTTATCAGCTCCCAACCTATCTACCTTCCAGGCAAAACTGTTATTGTCAGGTACTATCAGCAATTGGAACTCAAAACCATTCTGTTTACTGGCTCCAAAATGTACTGTAATGTTTCTCAACATTACTAGATTACTGCTGTACTGCTGCAGCAGCTACATGAAGTTACATTAAATCCCCCCTTCTTTTCAGCTCAGTGATTTAAAGAAGCTGTCACACATAGATCTGTGCATGAATCAGTTTACTGCCATCCCTTCAGCTCTCCTCAACATGCCAAATCTTGAATGGTTAGATATGGGGGGAAACAAACTCCAGGAGCTTCCTGACACAATTGACAGGTAAATACAGCTCAAAGCTCATCTTAGTCTCAATTCCACTGCACTGAAATTCTAATTAATAAACACTACTTCAAACAATAATTTTTATGTTAACCTCACTCCAAAGTCAAGATTTTATCAGCCCTAATGTTATGTTTTGGATAAACTGGAATAATCCATTCAATTAACAATAAATTCAGTATCAACTATAAGGTTAAATATTTATTGTCAATCACATTTTTGAACAGAGATTAGGTAATTATCTTGGATATGGGGTTTCCTTTGAGACTTGTTGCATTATGAGTCCTTTATGTGGCTGAAAAATTAATTTTATAGTAATGACTCAGAGGATTAATTCTATGAAGGTTGATTTATTGCACAAATACCCTTTTTTCAGAATGGAAAACCTCCACACTTTATGGCTCCAAAGGAATGAAATAAACTCTTTGCCAGAAACCATTGGTAATATGAAAAATCTTAGTACTCTTGTTCTTAGCAACAATAAACTTAAGGATATTCCAGTTTGTATGAAGGACATGACAAATCTGAGGTAAGAAAAAACACCAGTAATATAAATGAAAATAACCAGAAAATACTTTTTTAAGCCCTCTTGAGTTGTAGATCATAGTGATACTAAGGGAGAGGAAAAGGCATTACCACAGTTGTACAGGTGGATACAATAAATCAGCGTAGTTACACAGATTCACAACAATTAAGGATCTGGTGAAGTAAGCTTTGTGTAGTGAAGTACTTAGTTAAAAAAGTAAATTATGATAGCTACAGTCTCCCATGAAAAGTAGACTATAATACATTTTCTCATTTCATAGCCCTCCCACTATAATTGCCCTTTGATATCACTTTCTAAAGGCAAGAGCTTACAGAAAAATGCGGCAGGCATTAAAATGACAAAAAGTAGAACCAAAGAATTCAAGCATTCAGAATTAAACAAAATTTATTAGGTTTAAGGACATGGATGAAACTGTCATGTACTTGATATGGAAAATAAAAAATCATGTAAATTCTTAATTGGTTGATTTTGAACTACTCAATTACTCCTTAGTGTACTGTGATAGACACTTCCCTGTTGTTAGCATTTTCATTTGGGTTATTGGATGCTGGCTGTTTTAGAGAAAGAATGCTAGGCTGCATAAACCATGTCTAACCCAAGAAGACAATTCTCAGCACTTTTTGAAGAACCTCCTTAACTAAATATATATAACTATAGGCCTGAGGGTGGAACAAGAATAAAGAGATAAAGGATTGGCTCCTGCCTTGCAAAGCTGGGAGCAGCCACTTGCACTGTTCTCATTTACTCACCTGTTTGTGAAAGCTCAATACATCTGACATTGGGGTCAGAAACTGAAGACAGAATGATGAAGACCACAATGTTTTTTCCTACCACAATCAGTTACTGTTATAAAGCATCTTCTTAGCTTACTTAATAGAGTGGTGAGTTTAGTATAACAAGAAGTTAACTTCCTTCTGCTTAAAACATTATTTGAGAAATCTTAATTCAGTTCCAAAAGAATTATTTTCTCTGGACAAAACTTACTACAGGATTAACCTTTTCTGGCGAATTCCTAGATTTGTCAACTTCAGAGACAACCCACTGGAGCTAGAGGTAACACTCCCTCCATGTGAGAACACAGATGAGGAAGAGCAACAGGAAATGTTTGGCATTGACTTCATGCACATGTATATCCAGGAATCACTGAAGAAAACAGGTATGGCTTTTTTATTAATTCTGATCTCTCCACAATATAGTGAGGAAGAAAGGGACAAACTGGATAAATAGAATCTGGGATATGTATAAAAATGAAACATGAATAACCTTTTTAATAAATGAGTAATGTTTTCAAGAAAATCTGTAAACAGGCTTTTACTGAGGACAGTGGCACTTCTAACAGGAGTTGGCACAGTAGGTCTCCAACAAACAGCACAGATTCTGGTACGAACATACTGGAAAACAGGGAGCACTGGAAGAAATGTGCCTGAGTTACCAACACCATGGATAAAGAGAAGCTGATTACTGTCTTTTGTATTTGCAATTTAATCATTTTACATAGTGAAAGTCTTCCAGCACCCTTTAATTCACAAAGCTCAACTTTTCCTATTTTTGGATGTTGTCCAGGTAGTACTTCCAGAGGAAGATTAAGGGAGAAATGTGTATGTTCCCAAGATATGTCTTTTAGCAATGAACTATCAACACCTGATAAACAGATGTTTCTCACGACTTGCTTTCCCTGACACAAAATACAGTCACTTAAAAAAAAAAAACCACCCAGTTTCATCCCACTTCTAAAACATGACAAAAATTTGCTGTTCATTGTCTCTGGGGTAACAGCTTTAATGCTGCAGTAACAGACCCAAATAAGCACTTTGGAACAGATGTTCAGTTGGCAGCTGTTACTTGCAGCAAGCACTTCACTGCAGATATAAAATTATCTCCCTGATCTTCATTCTGTGTTTTGTGAACGCTTAAAAAAATGAATGTAATGCTCTTGTTTTAGAACACTGAACCAGCTTTTTCTTATCAATATTTCATGAATGAATTATCAAATTAGCAAAAATATACAAGATGACACTTCAGACATAAGTTTTTTTTCTGAATAGGTTCTCTAGCAGCACAGGCTGATCAAAGTACTTAGGCCTACTTAAATATTTTAAGAGGAAATGCAAAGCTATTCTGAACTTCAAAGTGAGAATAAAGCATGTCAACTTATCTTATTTTAACCTATTGTCTTTCAGGAAATGTGGAAAGTTGTACTTCTGGTTCTCCTCCTGTCATGAATCCTAATGAATAAAGAATGTAACTGTGAATGGAAGAAAATATCAAGTACACTTCTTCACAGCAAAGAGGCTACAACAGGTTTCAAATATTCTTAGGGATTTTATTTTTCCACTGATGAGGACTGGTTTGCATATTTGTAATTCCCAGTGAAACTGGAAAATGTAAGACTTTTTCTTGAGTATAGGAAAGATGATAACTTTTTTTTTTTGTAAGAAATGGAGTAGTTTTAAAAAAAAATATATATATAGGGTTGGTTTCTTTTCCCTACCAATTCCAAATCTATCTCCTGTCATATAGTTGGCTCTGGTATCAAAGAAGGATTTGGGACAGCTGTCAACAGGACATTCTCCAAGGACACAGCAGCCTCTGCATAATACTGCAGTGCAGCCTTGTATCCATGCTGTTGTAAATACTCAATGCGCCCGTGATCAATCAGCCGTTTGCAGAGGCAGCCGATCTCCTTCCGCTCCTCAACACTCAGTACCCTGGGTCCAGATAAAGGAAGGAAGGAACAGCTGTCAGAAAATAGTTCTGCTAATTAACATTAGTAGTTAAGCTTAGAAAAACTACTGAAATCATTGTAAGTTCATTTCGGTCAGGTAAGCATGACTGTTGAAATATTTTGAAATGTACGTCCATGAAAATAATATTTTTAAAGTATACTAATAAGTAAACTTTACTATAAGTTTACTAATTAAATATTAGTCCTTTTGAGGGCCCAAAACAATTTAATGTGCCACTATACATAGCTTTTCTGCTGGAGTCCATTTGCTAGGAAAAAAAAATGTACATACCCTTGTAAAGTATCAGAACCACTTGCTGTCTTGCTGAGCGTGTGCTCGTGTTCTTCTGTGTCGATAGTCTGATCTTCACTGACTTCACTTGTAAAAGCTTTGCTTGTGGTTTCTTGCATGCCACAAGTGGCCCAACTACTCATTCTCTGAAAATAATGGAATTCTACTGGTCCCAGTCCTACTGATTTAAAGAACTCTCTGCCTACATAATGTGTCCAGTCACACTTGTGATGGCAACAGAGAGCAATAACAATTCCAGCTACAGGCTTATGGTCTTCTGTGGTGCTTTCATTACCAGCAGATTTGTGAGGAGCCACCTCTGTCTGAGCAGCCCTGCAGCGTTTTGGTGCAGGCTCTTCATCTTCTCCACCACAGCAAGTGGTGTAACTTTCAAGCAAGCATCTCAAAGCAAGGTCTGGGAATGAACAAATACATCCCCCCCAACAAAAATATCCATAAACACCATGCCATTATTTATACAGGCTGCATCATAGTTGGGAATGTGCTTCCCACAAAGAAAAACAAAATTACACATCACAAACTAAGCCAAAAAGCAAGTTCAATGGTAACTAAAAATTACAAACATGCTTTGAAAACATGTCGTACTCTACCTAGTAGCCATATAACATTAGAAAAACTGTGTTAGTTTAAAGTTGTCAGAACAGAAACACAACCTTATTTGTGTTTGGGATACATATTCAGACAGCCAATAAAATTTTAGAAACAAAATTGTTTCAAAGAAGAGGCAACTGTGCTAAAAAAGTACTCTCAAATACATGGCCCATGCCACCACACACTGTTCTCTGTTCTAATCTATTAAAGCCAAGAAGGGCTTCACTTCTGCTTAAAGCATCCTTACATCTATTATCCTTTTACTATTCCACTGGAGTCAAGAGATACTTACAATATAATTACTGTGTTCACCAAAAAATGGTTAGAGGGCAAGAACAGCTTAAAAGGACAATTTGGAAGATCAGTGTATTTAGAGTGTAAGGTTTATAAGCAGACTTTCTGCAGTTCACACATCTGTAATTCATACCTGTTGCAGCACCACACAAATGCTTCCCAATTCCTACCACTGGTAGTTTTTTCTTCTCCAAAATAGGTACCTTATCTGGAGGGAAAAAATAAAAACAACCAACAAACCCCCATTCAATCCACAACTACCCCAGCACCTCTGTTTTTTCTGAATAATATAATTTCAGCACACTTAGAAATAAATATTTGCCACTACTAAAAATACATTGATTTGCACATTTTGTTAAGACAAATCAAAAGAATAGGATGCAGTGGCTGGGAAGCACATTTAACCATTTCAGCCTTTCTACACTGCCTTTGAAATGTAAATATGACATTAATGCATCTCCTGCTGACAGGTGCTCCCACAAATTCTGCAGCATTGATGGTGCATCATTTGTTTAATTCTACACATAAAACAAGGCAAACATGTTTAATTCTGCAAGTGCTAAAAACCCTTAAAAATGTATTTGTTTTGGTACTTTCTCACCTATAATGTCCTATGAGCGTAAAAAAAGTAGAAAACTTTAAAAGTCCATTTAAAATACATGTATATGTGTACTTACGTATATTCACACATGGCTGTGTGTCTGTATGTGTATACATACAGCATCAACATGTCCAAACAACCACCGAGAATAATCTTCAGAACCAAGTACACGTAAGCATGTACACACAAAGTGCAGGAACCCCAATTCAAAATTTAAAAATAAGCCTCTACTTCAGAATGACACAGGCCAAGAAGGAACTTACTTAAACATAAGTGCTGAATGTCCACTTGAAGCCTCTCAAATGCAGAATCTCTCCTTTTGTGTTTTCCATCCACCTGTTGGATGGAAACAGAACAAGAGATGGCATAGGGCTGGCCACTAATAACTATAATTTTGTTCCAGGTATTAATGCCAGACATTTTTCTTGTCAAGTCAACATCTGTGAATTTCCAACATTAAAAATCAAGATTTTTCCTAATAAATTTGCTATTGGTGAAGTATGGAATGTATAACTTGTAAAATTTAAATGTACTGATGATAAAAAAGAAATACTAACAACTTCAATGGCAATGGTTTAAAAATGATACTTTACTAATGTAACAATATCCTCTTACCTTGAATCTTGTGGTTGCCCTTTCCACAAGCAAAAACTGAACATTTTCAACATTCTCTAAGGCAATATCAATCCAATGAGACAGCTTTCCTCGCCCAGCTCCAAACTCAACAAAACACCTTCCTGGACCAAGTAAATGCAGTTTTTCCATGTTACCTAAAATAGAAGCCTACAAACATCAAAAGATCATTTGTGAACCAAGAAAATTCTCTTGTGAACCAAGAAAATACTGTGTTTTGTAATGCCTTATAGAAAAATTATTCCTTCACCAAACTGCAGAAGACTTTTTTAAGCCTTCCTTTCAGTGAGGGATTGAGGAAAAGATGATGTGTATACAGAGGAAAGGGATTATACCTTCTGTTTTACCATATCACATTTCCTCTGTGGGAAGCAACTGGAATTATGCACCCAGTCTCTCAAATTTACAGCAGCACAATTCCATGTCCAAACTCCTCTATAGTTATTAGTAAATCAGACCAAACCTGTTGTTTCAGGTGTTTGAAAGCAGATTCCCCATTCTTTGGGTCACTTAAGGCTTCTTGTAAAGCCTGGTGGGACAGTATTTGTTCCTTAAGATGAAGTTCCAGGCCTGGAAGCAAATGCAAAACTTTTAGGTATAGGTTTTGAGTTTCCAAGGGTTCCTAGTTTGTAACACACATTATTACAATTGTGACATGAGCTCAGTTTGTAGCACTAATAAAACAGTCTGCTGGGAGTGTAAAGCTATCTTCATATGTTTATAACAGAGCTGTACTGTTATCTGTAGTGGTATCTGAGTGAGAAAAAAAACCCCAAAAGGAAGGGAGCACAGGATTGGAGATTTATCATTCTTTCAGTCTAGTTTACTTTTTGGAGTAAAATTTAGCTATTGGAGGTCTGCCTGATAATTATTTCAAATGTGTTTTATGGCACCTCTCTCATATTTTTACAGGTATCTAACAACAAAAATAACAATTAAATATTTAATCAATTCAATTTAAAACATCTTATTTTTAGTATTTAGTATTAAGCTCACCATTAGTTGCGTTTTTCAACCTGGTAATTAAATTCTGCAGCTCTTCAATAGATAGAGAAGATAGAGGAACCTTTGTAAGGGAAAAAAGTGACACAAATAAATATGAGACCTTTGAGATTTTCTGTATATTTGTAGTAATAAATTGCAACATGTAATGTAAGGAATGAACCTAAAACCAAATAATGTACTCACTTGTTTTTCTGATATTTCTGCTACATCTTTTAAACCAGCATTAATATCTTGAACAAAGTAGACCTTAAAAAAAAAAAATAAAATAAATTTGATTCAGTTAATTACCAGGAAGCAAATAGCTAAATTCTTCAGTGTTCTTATGGTAAGGTATGTAGCAATAGGAATCCACTGCAAAGTAAGATTTTCCAAGTAATTTTCCTTCCTATAGTCTGATCCTGAATCCCAGCCAGAAATTACTCTTCTGACACAGTTTTACAAGACTGAACATGCTCATAAGAGTTAAGCAATCAGAGCTTACTACACAGATTCCAGAAACCATTTTCAGGTTTCCCAGGGAATACTAAAGGTGCAATTCTAATAAGGCAGAAAGGCAGGCAATAAAGAAGCCATCCTCTGCTTTCTTGAAAGAGCTGTCTAAACACATGTCCTGTTGCTTCCCTCAGCAGCTGTCAGCCAAGCTTTCCCTGGCTCACTGCCAGCCTGGCTGCAGTGGGCAGCTGGCTGGGATACCCAGAGCTTCTCTGCAGGTTTTGCTTTGCCAGGAGAACCTCTCACCCAGCCTCTGAAATGAATGGCGTTGTGAGAGCCTCTTCCCTGCGTGCCTTTCTGAGAAAAATGAATTCAATATTCTTATTTGTAACCAAGAGCTGAAAAAGTGCACCAAATTACAATGAGAAGGGGCAGAGAATATGAGGGGACTGGAATGTGAGTTGCATTTCAGCAAGTGCTTATAGAGCTTCCATCCTGCCTTGCTAGACCTGCTGCCCTGCAGCTCAGAGCTGCTGTCAGCACAGAGAATTCTCTGCAGGACTGCAATGTTACAGGTCTTAAATCCGAGAGGATGTGCTGAAATTACACTGCACTTACAGGCTTTGGCTTCTCTCTTGAGTTGCATTTTTTTAAATGCTTTTGTAGTTGGTCTTCGTATACAGTGCTAAAAGCCAAATGGAGAGAAAAGTAAGTATCATGCGACTACTGACAAAGAACGGGAAAAGCATTTACATATACTCACTGTTTCGGATCAAGAGGACACGGAATTCTTTTTCTGTCATTTTGTTCCTAGTTAGAAAATTTTAGAAAACACTTCAGCATGCATTCAGCGTTTTGTTTTAAAGAAGCTGTTGAGGGACATCAGCTTCATAAAACATCTATTCAGAATAAGTGAGTTAACCAGAACGGAGAAACGGAGACGGGCACTTAATACTTGACTGTATCCTAACAGAATAAAGCCCTAATGCAGGGTGGGGGCTGCTGCTGGGCTGAAGCGAGTGCCGGCACACGGAGGCTCAAGGGAAGGCACAGGCTCTGCCTCTCCCACCCCCGAGCCCGCCCGCCCCCCCGGCCCGAGAGGGTCCCTGCACCTCCTCGTGCCCGTGCTCCCCGCAGAAGCGCCTGCCGGGCGCCGGGATCATCCTGCAGAAGCGCCTCTTCCTCAGCACGAAGTGAGCGCAGCGCCCCGGCTCCGGCTCGGGCGCCGCCATCGCCGCTCCCGGCGGCCCCCGCGCCGCCATGTTGGGCCCCTCCCCGCGGGCGGGAGCAAGATGGCGGCGGAGCGGATCTTCGACCGGGCGGTGTCGGTGCGAGTTCGGGGCTGCGGCTGCGAGGAGCGGTGAGTGCGGGCCGGCTGTGGGGGAGCCTCTCTGCGCTCCTCAGAGGGGCTGCGAGCCACAGGCGCTGCCTTCCTGCCTGCTCTCAGCGCCGCGGGGCCGCGCTCTACGTTGCTGCGGGCGCCGTCCGGGTGAGGGAGGGACCGGTCTGGCGAGGCTCGGGGCAGCCGGCGAGGGCCGGGCGGTTGCCGTGGGCGCCTCGCCAAGGGAGTGAAGCCGGCGGGGCGCCGGCAGCGGAGCGAACTCGCAGTGGCCCGGCAGAAGCGCCGCTGTGCCCGGGGCTGAGGGACCCGAGGGCCGGGCGGCTGCCGGGCCCGCGCGGTGCTTGGCGTCTCCCGGGCCTCGGCGCTGCCCTCCCGCCTCTCCCCGCCGCAGCGCGGCCTCCTGAGGCGCGGCTCCTCCTCGGCGCCCCGGGACCCGCGGGTTTGGGCCGCCTGTGCGAGGGTGCGCACGGCAATGGTGCCTGGGAAAGCCCAGACGTTCCCTGTGTGAGGCGTCTCTGCAAAATGGGATGAATTTCGGCACTGTGGGTCCTGTCTGGGTTAGACAGGGTGAGGAAGCACGGAAAGGCTGGTGTGTGTGCGTGCGTTGTAACGTAAGTGACTTGGTACTCGATGAGAAATCATTGAAGGCAAGGTAGCACCGTGTAAATTATCATCAGGAGTTTGAGCACTCGTTAATAAATTTCATCAGGCTTTTACAAAAGTTGTAGTTTCTGGACAAAGTTTCAAAGCTTCTGCCTTGCTATTTAAAGTCTGGTGGATAACAAGCAAGCAGCAAAAAAAAACCAGCTCTGACTGAGGAGCTGCAGTAACTGAAACTTCTATTTTAAGTGTAGTCATTGGTGGGAACTTTCTTAATGTTTCTGTCTAAATTTTTATTTTTGAGATGTCATTGATTCCTTTAATGCAGCTGTGAACACATTATTTGGAAATGTTTTCTTTATTTATTACTGAGTTTCATCTTTTTGTACACAGGAGATTAAATGTTCGAGTGAATATTGAACTACTGTCAATTTCTAATCCTGTTCATAAAAAGGTTTGTAAATTAATAATATTTCTGTCATTCATTAGATATTATCTGAATTTCATTTTATGGAAGTATAAGTAGGAAAAGGAAAAGCAAAGTGGGATTTCAGTGTTTGCGGTTTGACCTTACTTTATTTTTTATACAATTTTTTTGAGTAACTTGGTTGGCTTGGTGTTGTGTTTTTCCACCCTTTCCCCCCAGCCTTTTTTAGCCCTCTATTTTAGTTTGGCTGTTTATGGGTCTGAGCAAGCTTGCATGTTAAAAGTATTTGGAGATGCTCAGGGGAACATGAGTTGGTGCTTAGGAGTACCTTTGGTTCAAGGTTCTAAATTTGGAGTAAAAATAATCTTTCTCAGGGAAAATCACAATGAGAGCACTACTGGAGACTTTGTCATCTCTTCTGTTGTACGTCTGGTTTGTCACCAAAGTGTTCATCCTTCCATCATGATGTTAACGTTGGTTATGGTGGTGTTGGGTAAAGATTTGTTTGTGTAGGAATGCAGCAGTTTTTGGTCAGATTCTGCTGCTGGGGGCAGTGATAATGGATAATGGTGCTTCCTCTGAGCAGAAGCAGTTCAGTTAGAAGTGTGTGCTGAGCTGCAGCCTGTGTCAGGAGGAGCCTGGAGACCGGAGATGCCGTTGAGTCCGTCGGGGAGTGATCAGTCTAAAGGAGAACTTCCAGTGCTTAATCAGCTAATGGGACATCAGACCAAGCAGGCATTTGATCCCACCCATCAGTCCACCCCAGCTGGCTTGGGGTGGCATTAATTTTAACTGTCTGTGTGTGTAAACCCCTGAGTTTGTTTTTGCATCTTCAGCTGAGAGTTTTGTTGGTGTTACTGGCACCTGAATTCCTGAAAGAAGTTTCAGTTACGTGTCTGTACCGTGCTGTGTCACACTTCACTGTGTCAGAACAGCTGACACGTTTCTGCTTTCCTTTTGTACCTCTGCTAGGGAATATCCTTGCCACAGGGGCGAGCCTTGTTCCAGGGAGCAGCTGCCTGAGCCTAATGTACTGCACAACCCCATCCCTGGAATTCAAGGCTTAATGCTTATGGAGAGGGCAGGTTCTCCAAAACACTGTGCAGGCCTCCAGTGAACAAATGAGTGTCTGTTTCAAAGCTAAGCAGCATAACCCTGCAGTTTGCCATGTGGGATTCCTGGATTCAGCTGTATCCAGTCTGCTGAGCTCTGTATTCCAGTATATAAAAGCAGCTGGTGATTTCATAAACTTCAGGAGCAGTGTGCTCTGAAAGGCTTCCAGTTATGGGAGTGATGTATTAGTAAACCATGACAGTGGACTGCTAGTGCTAGACTTATTCCATGAGGAAAAAAAGAGCAAATAGCTTTTGCTCTGAAAAATGATGGATACACACTGAATTTCAAAACCTTTGCTGCTCAAAGTTTAAGGTTTTGACTTGGTTTGTTTTTGTGAAAGAGTTTTCCTTGTTTTCACACTATAATATTTGAAGCTGTGTTTAATGGTAATGTTTTACACATTCTGAATCAGTTGCCACAATATTGTATTTTTGACTAAACAATGAAAGCATTCAATACCGTTTGCAATGCTGGTTTAAAATATTTATAGTATTTTAATCTTATTTAAATGTACATCTTTTCAGGACTTAGCTGTTCGATTGACTGATGATACTGATCCTTTTTTCCTTTATAACCTTGTCATATCAGAGGAAGATTTTCAAAGGTAAGTGAAATTACAGTATTTTCTCTGTTAAACATTTCTGAATGGCAAAAAAGAAAAAGGCAACATTTTAGCTTAGAGTGGCCTGTGTTAGAGTTCAGGTTTTGGCAGTGTTCTGTCAGTATTGTTCTCTGACCAGCTGGTGAAACAGCCAGGCTCAGGAGGGTGCCCAGCTCAGGTTACACAGAGGAATACTGCCGGGGTCTTCTGTTGATCCTAACTGCTGCTTACAGACGATTGTGTGTGTGGGAACTAGTTGGGGAAATGATTACGAGAACAAAGTCTGTTTGCATGGACATGGTTTTACAGACCTCTGCCGGGGTCTTCTGTTGATCCTAACTGCTGCTTACAGACGATTGTGTGTGTGGGAACCAGTTCAGGAAAAACCCCTAAGACCGGTGCCTGTATCTTAGGGGTTTCTTGCACAATTGTACTGCTGGGTCTCATTTACTTGCTCAGAATTTGAGCAAATCATCAAATTTGGATTCCAGCATGAACAGATGAACAGTTCAGTTTTCTGCTTTCTTTAGGTATTTATTTATTTTGGTTTTTGCTTTGTTTTGTTGTTGGGGGTTTGATTGGTTTTTTTTGGTTGTTTGGAGTTTTGGCGGGGGGAGTGGCTTTGGTGGTGTTTTTAAAAAGGGAGGTGTGATCAGCGTGTGGATCAAAAGCAAAAGCCAAGTGGCGTTTGAGGAGAAATGCGCAGGAGTGTTTTGTTGCACAGGGGCACAGCTTTGTGCGTGCACTGCGGGGTGTTTGTCTGAGTTTGCTGTGGCTGTGGAGAAGGGGGGCAGAGATGGGCGAGTGGGGCATCGAGGCAGTGGCTGAGGCTCCCCTCCTTGTCCTGTGCCTGTGTCCTGTGCCTGTCCCGTCACTGCTCCACGCTGTGCTCTGAGGGTGATGCCTGGCTTGAGGGAACACGTCTGTTCACCACAGCAGCTTCTGCTTTTTAATTGGTGCAGCCCATTTGCAAGAACTCTTGTGGTCAGAAGTATCCTCTGGGGATTGTTATCCAAGACGTGCTCTAGGATGACCCTGCTCAAGCAGGGAGGTTGGACCAGCTGACCCACTGTGGTCCCTCCCAGCCTGACCACTTCCATGATTTTCTGATATGTGGACACACTTCTGGTTGAAAATAGCATGCTAGTGAACTTTAATGATCAGAACTGGTTCTTTCTACTAGAGTAAACAAAATATTTTATAGGAAATAAATTATATTTCTCTATATTGGTAACATTTTTTTTTCCTGTCTGTTCACATAGTTTGAAATCCCAGCAAGGTCTCTTGGTAGACTTCTCTGCTTTCCCGCAAAAATTTATAGATCTGCTTCAGCAATGCATTCAGGAGCAGAACAAGGATATCCCAAGGTAGGTCTCAAGTGTGTGCCACGTTACTCTGTGTGTACCTGTTGAGTTCTTAAAATGCTTCAGTCACTCAGACTGAGAAGAGTCAGTAGAAAAGGATAATCTGACCTGCCCCAACCTGAGTATGTTGGTGGATGTGGCAAAACCTGAGTCTTTGGAGGAGAATTCTTTCTTGAGCAAAATCTGGAAAGCCTTTTACTGCACATATAAAAATATATTTTATTGGGAAATAGATTAGGATCTACAGGTAGTTTCAGGAAAAAAAAAAGCTAAACATTTGATTATCTTGGTTTTTCCCTAGGTTTTTGCTGCAGTTAGTTTCTTCAGCACCTGCTCTAGATCACACACCTGTCTCTTTAAATGTAGTGGAGACCAACCCTTTCAAACATCTTACCCATCTCTCTCTAAAATTCCTGCCAGGAACTGATGCAGAAATAAAGAAGTTTTTAGCCAACTGTTTGAAATGCCTTAAGGTAAAATGAAAGTTTATTGTAACTGCAACTAAGCCTCAGTGCTGTATGTACTTAAGCATTTTTTCATTCTGAGTAATTCAGGAGTATGTGCCAAGTTGTATGCTCTGGTTCATTTTTCCTTCTAGCCCAAATATGTAATTGCATGCAGCTACTTGGGTGCATGCTGTAAAATCTGAGTTGTTAGCATCCCCCTGGCAATGGAGGCACATTCTGTGTCCTCAGGCAGGCAGTGCCATTTGAAGTGGCAGGAAGGGAGGAGTGCAGCTGCTGCATGCTCTGGCTGCTGCACTCCCCTGCTCACAGCCTGTGCTGATGGCCACAGCAGCTGCAGGACATGCT